TCTTCGGATTACAGTATTTTCAAAGGATTTTTGAAGGAATAATGTTGACATGGATTTTTTCCTTTCCTATCATTTGGAAGGCACAAACAGGTCATGGGAAAAGCTAAGGAAAGATTCCTTTGCTGCTGATTACAAAGGAAAAACATTGGAAAAATAACATCCACTCCGACCTCATTTTTGTTTTCCTTCGCGTAAGACCGAGGTAATCAAGCAGTAAACAAGAACTTTTACGAATACGAGCAAAGCAACTGAGCAAGAACTCTGAAGGATAGGAATAAGAAGCAATCCAATTAGAAAAAAAAAACAAGGGGAAGAAGCAACTCGAGGTTGCCAGCTGCTCGAGCTTGTGATGGCCATGGCGGCAGCTCGCTCCTGCTGCGCGGCCGTGCGAGCTCGTCGGCCAACCGCCGTCTCGCTTGCTCCCCCCGGTACGTAGCTCAGCTGCGCGCGCGAGCTTGCTCTGCCAACCATCGAGCCCGCCATCCCTGTTGATTTTGTTTGTTTGCTGCTCCCCATGCCTCTGAAAGATTGGGGAAAAGGATGATGCGGTGAAGAGGATAAGGCTTTCCTGTCTAGAGAGTACTCGAGAATAGTGACTAGATAGAAAATAGTATTCTGTTGCTTAATTAGATTATAATCTACATGGTTAATTACTCTTGACAGTAAAATTCCTATGTGGTATATATATTCCTGTATTCCGAATGCTTTCTATCATCAAATTCCTTAGTTTTTCAATCCTCCGTTTTCCATATGAAATCCTATGCTATTCCTGTGTTTTTCCTATTCCTGCATTTTTCCTATCCTGTGTTCCGAATAAGCCCTAAGAGAAAAAAACAGTTTAAAGTGGTTTTGCACGCATGCGTGCATGACGTCAACGCCCGATTTTTGCACGCCTTGATCGGGTGCCCGATGGGGAGGGGGGTAAAATCAGGCGCTGACATCATACTGACGTCAACGCCACGCATGCGTGCAAAAGCACTTTAAACTATTTTTTCTCTTAAATTATTTATCCAAATCATGATCTGATTGCACCATTAAATTCGTTGCAATGAAATCTTCAAAACAAGACCACACATGGATATATTCCAACGAAAAAACATTTTAGCTTATTATTGAATTATTTTTAAATGTTGTACGATGTTCCACTAGGTATATTGGAATTGTTTTACTAAGTAGATTCAAAATGTTTCAAACGTTTAAATCGGACATTGTTTCACCTTATATAAAAACAATGTTTCAGCAAATAGCGAGAGAATGTTTCAGTTCATTGCAACATTTGATCCATACATAGTGAAACATTATAAGTACACTAGGTGAAATATTTTTCGTGGAACAAAAAATGAAACGAATTCCCTTAATAGAGGTTTTCCAAAATATGCATGTGATTTGTTGTAAAAGAATGTTTTGTTAACTGCAACATTAGATCTATACATAGTGAAACATTCTGAGTACAATAGGTGAAACATTTTTTGTGGAACAAAAAATAAAACGAATTCCCTTAATAGAGGGTTTCCAAAAATATGTGGATGATTTGTTGCAAAAGAATATTTTAATTTACTGCAATATTAGATCTATACATAATAAAAAATTGTGAGTACACTAGGTGAAACATTTTTTTGAGACACATGTCAGGTAGGGGCAGGACATATGGTGGGGCCATGAGGACACGTGCGCGTCAGGGGAGAGCGCCCGATTTTGCTCCCCCCCTGGCTGGTCGTCCGAGACGAAGGATTTTCGTCAACATTTGTAAAAGAAATACTGTGTGTTGTACAATTTTCCCTGTAAATTTTGCAATAATACACTTAGTAACAACGATATATTGGTTGATTGATTTATTGGCTACGATCTATGTCAATAGTACTAATTTTGTTGAAATCGCATATGAACTAGGTAGAATATTTTTTATGATCATTCATTTCACAGACATGTAATAGATGCGCATATACGCACTCGAGTTGGAAAAGTGTTAAATATCTTTTTATAATGTAGTAGTGTCATTTTTCTAGTAGTAAGGCCTTTCTTTCAAAGGTTAGTTGGATACATGCCACTACAATCTTTACAATTTTTACGAATTTGAAGTATAACTTTATTGTTATTTGACATAGGAAAAAGTCCAAACTACCCCCTAAACTATTGGGTGAGTACGAATTGCTCCCCTAAACCTTAAAATCAGACATCTATCACTCTCAAATCTTAATACCGCATGAAAAACAACTTAACTTAATCCAAAGTGGTTTTAGTCCTACGTGGCAGTCCAGACAGCAATTTGTTTTTTTAAAAAAAAATATTAATGGGACCCTACATGCCATACTCTCCCGTTCTCCATCTTTTTCCCCTCTCACCTTTCTATCTATTCCTCAATCTCTCTTTGCAGCCGTCTCCGGCAGCTGATGAAGTCCACCTCCCCCTGCCTCCACCCTCCTAGTCGACGAAGCAGCGGCCAGGCTCGGCAAGCAATGAGTCGGAGGAAGCAACAACTAGCGAAGCAGAGGTGGACTAGGCTCCGCAAGCAGCGAGCCGGAGATGGAGGGCGACGAGGAATGGCGTGGGGTCCTGGGCGACAGTGGATCTAGAGCAGTTGATGGTGCGGCCCACCAGATCGACGACGAGAGACGCCTCCGCTACTCGCCGCCCTCAGCCGCCTCCGCCGCTTGCCACCCTTACCCCGCTGCTGTGTAACGCTGCCTCCATGGGAGATGCGGTCGACTGGCATCGTTCTCGCGTCCGCCGCCCAGCTTTTCTCCCGGTGCCTCCCGCCATAGTGCCCTGTTGGCGATGCGCCCTCCCGGGCGTCGTCGTGCTCAATGCCGCCCGCCTCACCCCCTGCCCCCAGCGCAATTGCCGACAGAGAGAGAAAAGATAGAGTTGTAGTATATGATAAGTGGGGCCCATTTTTTTATATTTTTTGCCTAATTGGATTGCCATGTTGGTGCCATGTAGGACCAAAATCGCCTGCAAAACTGCTGGGTGGATACGGTATTAATAGTTGAGGATGAAAGATGTCTAGTCTTAGGGTTTATCAGGGTAATTCATACTCACCCAATAGTTCAGGGGAGTAAGTCAGACTTTTTTCTTTAACATATGTCACTACTAACCCTTTAAACCTATTTTCTACATTTTTTTTTACTAAATTACCCCTTCTCCTCTTCCTTCACCCTCTTCTATTTCCACTCATCTTCCTCCCCATCTCTCTGTGAATCTGTTTCCCGAAGCACGGGCGGTGGAGAGGCCTGGCCACGCGACAAGGTGCGTGGAGGCGGAGGCCTAGACAGGCCCCCGGCGGCCGGTGCACACGGAGCTGGCAAGATGGTGCCACGTGCATATATAACAACCCATGTGGTAGTTTGGTAGTTGTAGGATGGTTTTTAAAAATAGTTTTTTTAATCGTCCAGCACCCCCCCCCCCCCGAGGTACCACCGAGGTACGAAATCTGGACCGTTCGTTCGAATTGATCTAACGGCTAGGATTGCATGGTACCTCGCGGTACCATTTTTCTCCTTGGCGCAGTACCGCTTTGGCAGTAGAGGTGGAAGGGTAGTTTAGTCTTTGAACATTAGCACGATCTGCACCGCATCGCAAAATGCCCTCTGCGCCGCCGCGTTCAGCTCTCTGCCGCGCCGCCGCGCCACCGTCGGGCTCCGCCGCGCCGCCGCGTCGTGCTCAGCCGCGGAATTTGACTTAAGGCGCCGGCGAGGAAGTCGCGGAGGCTGGGGTTGGAGAGGCGGGTGACCTCGAAGGTAAGCAACTCATGGTGCTTGGACGCCACTGGCGGCACCTCCACCTTCGGCAGACGGTGGAACGTCATGGCCGGGTTGGCCGCGGTGACGCCGGTGAGGAAAGCCCCCGTTGCACCGGTGTTGCTGTATGGTGGGTCGACGACGACGACGGTGACGGCGAGGCCGCGGGCGGCGAACACCTTGCCGAACTCGATCATGGAGACCAGGTGGCCCATGCACGCCGCTGCTTCATGCTCAGCCGCGTCGCCGCGTCGGGCTCCACCATGCCGCCGAATCATGCTCTGCCGCTTCGCCTTGTTCACCTCTCTGCCGCGCCGCCACATCGGGTTTGTCTGTTCCTTCTCTATTCCGATCCTACCCCCGCTTAATCAACGGCTGGATTAGTTTTGGTACTGCGCGGTACCTGTACCTCACGGTACAAAACGCAGGATGGTAACAACACTCTTTTAAAAATTAAGGGAGTTCTTGTTTTTGTATGTTACTACAGTATATACTAGTATAAAGGTAAATGAAAATTTCTCATCAAAATTAAGAGTGGTTGCATAATTTTACGAAAAATAAGAGGGGTTGCTGTCAGGTGTGATGCTTCATCTTACTGCTTGGCTGGATCATCGGAGAGGAATGAATGGTTCCGTGCTTTCTACTTCTACTGAACTCGTATTGTGTATAAGTGCATCACGCACGCAAGTAAGTAAAGTACGTACTTACACAGGAATATGTACGTACGTACGTACGGCAGATGGAGAAGGATGCATATGCGATCGATGAGGTTGGCGTTCGTGTTGAAAAAACGTGCCAACTGGTTGGTTGAGGAATATCAAAATCCTTGTCCACTTTGTAAGCCAGGGATAGTCGTACCGCCAAACAGAAGTATGATGGAAAAGCAAGTAACAGAATCTAATGACATCAATTATAATCACGTCAGGTATAGAGCGAGCGGTAGCAGATCGAGTATCCATGACACGATCCATCGATCTCGCGTTGGCCTGGCCTGACCGTAATCTATGGTATTTTGACATCCAATGATCACCAATTTGATTGTTTTATTATTTTAAATCTTCAGTACTAATATAAAGTGATTGATGAAGAAAACAAATTTGATAGTCATATATACATGTCGTCGGTGGCTGCAGAGGCGGTGATCGATCAAACGTTGCAACTGGCGGAACAGATGCCGCGCACCTTACACGAACGAAAAATTGGCAAAATGTTCCGCCGTCGCTATCGCAAACACACCCTCTTCTCTCCTGGTTCGATCGATGAGGTGAGCGCGCGAGATCTCCGGCGTCCCTTTCCCTCCGTCACCATCAACCACGGTTGCTTCGCCCAGCCGCGATGCCGCAGCCGCAGGCCGTCCAAATCATCAGCTTCACAGACCAGCCAGACGAGTGTGCAGAGCGAGCGCCATGCCCGCATATGCACGGGACGAACCCAAGATTCACGGCATGTTAACCATGTCGGAGAGGTGGCGCTGAGCCATCACCCCTTCCGTCATGCAATGAGTCCTCCTCAAGAAACCCAACCGACGATCAATCCATCGAGGTGTGACGCGCCATCTCGCCGCTCGGTGGCTTCTTCTTCTTCTACCTTCTCCTCCCTCTTCCTGGCCAGCCAGTGCACGCCTTCTCATTCAATTCCCTGCTCACCTCGATCGAGTAGCTGCTGCTGCTGTGCTAGCTTGCTCGCCGGCCGGTGAGGTCGACGATGGAGCTGCACAGATGCTCTCTCCTCGCTCTGCTCCTCGCCGTGACATGCTCGGTTGCAGGTTAATTACTTCTTCGATCTTCTTGCCCATTATTCCTAATTAAATTATACTTTTGCTGTTGATTAATCAATCATGCATGTGTGTGTGCTTGCAGTGGCGTATGATCCGCTGGACCCGAAGGGGAACATCACGATAAAGTGGGACGTGATATCGTGGACGCCCGACGGGTACGTGGCGATGGTGACGATGAGCAACTACCAGATGTACCGGCAGATCCTGGCGCCCGGGTGGACAGTGGGGTGGTCGTGGGCCAAGAAGGAGGTCATCTGGTCCATCGTGGGGGCCCAGGCCACCGAGCAGGGCGACTGCTCCAAGTTCAAGGGCGGCATCCCCCACAGCTGCAAGCGCACCCCGGCCATCGTCGACCTCCTCCCCGGCGTCCCCTACAACCAGCAGATCGCCAACTGCTGCAAGGCCGGCGTCGTCTCCGCCTACGGCCAGGACCCCGCCGGATCCGTCTCCGCCTTCCAGGTCTCCGTCGGCCTCGCCGGCACCACCAACAAGACCGTCAAGCTACCCACCAACTTCACCCTCGCCGGCCCGGGACCCGGGTACACGTGTGGCCCGGCCACCATCGTCCCTTCCACCGTCTACCTCACCCCGGACCGGCGCCGCCGCACCCAGGCGCTCATGACGTGGACCGTCACCTGCACCTACTCCCAGCAGCTGGCGTCGCGCTACCCGACCTGCTGCGTCTCCTTCTCCTCCTTCTACAACAGCACCATCGTGCCGTGCGCCAGGTGCGCCTGCGGGTGCGGCCACGACGGCTACCGCGGCAACGGCGGCGGCGGGAAGAACGCCCGCGCCGGCGACGGACGCAGCAGACGCAACAGCGGCGGCGGCGGAGGGCACAGCGGCGGCACCGAGTGCATCATGGGCGACTCGAAGCGGGCGCTGTCGGCGGGGGTGAACACGCCGCGCAAGGACGGGGCGCCGCTGCTGCAGTGCACGTCGCACATGTGCCCGATCCGCGTGCACTGGCACGTCAAGCTCAACTACAAGGACTACTGGCGCGCCAAGATCGCCATCACAAACTTCAACTACCGCATGAACTACACCCAGTGGACGCTCGTCGCCCAGCACCCCAACCTCAACAACGTCACCGAGGTCTTCAGCTTCCAGTACAAGCCCCTCCTCCCCTACGGCAACATCAGTAAGCTCTCTACCACAACCTCTTATTCCTCCTCTCCGACATCGTTCTCGCTTTCATATCTATACCTGTACTAATTGGACGACACCACGGCCATGGTATATTGCAGACGACACCGGCATGTTCTACGGGCTCAAGTTCTACAACGACCTGCTCATGGAGGCAGGGCCGTTCGGCAACGTGCAGTCGGAGGTGCTGATGCGAAAGGACTACAACACCTTCACCTTCAGCCAGGGCTGGGCGTTCCCGCGCAAGATCTACTTCAACGGCGACGAGTGCAAGATGCCGCCGCCGGACTCCTACCCCTACCTACCCAACTCCGCTCCGATCGGGCCGCCGCGTTCCGTGGCCGCCGCCGCCTCGGCGATCTTGGTGGTGCTCCTCCTGGTGGCATGATCAGAAAAATGTCCCCTTTTGCTTTGTCTTCTTGATAATTCCCACATGTTTGGAGAGCAGTGTAGGTAGGGGCATTTTGGTCTATTCATACTGGATATTCAGTCAAAGAGGAAATCTGTGATATTGTGTTAACTTTGAAATTGCCTGATAGATCTCCATAATGTACAACACAATCAGGCTGGAAGAGTTTTGGTCAGTCCCCAGTTAGGCCAGCCCTGAGAAATCACACCACAAACTTTTCTGCAAATTCTGTTGTGACTACAAATATGTATGCAGGTATTGACCTTGAATTGAGAGGAAAAAAGAAACAATTTCCACATTTACTGACCAACTACAAAATGCAATTTCTTGCAATCAGATGAGATGGCAAACATTTCTCTAGACAATTAATGTTGGGACTTGGGGTTCTCAATTAGTCTTCACACTTCAGACCAAGAATACACACCATCAGAATGTACAACCCAAACTTTAATGATTTCGAGGAACCTAAACTTACAACCTAAATCAAACGCGAATTAGCTTTTCATGCAAGAGCACACCCTAAACTTCCAAAAGACTCAGTATGTCAACAGCCAATGCCCAATGTGGTCAGCACTTTCCACAGTTTTTGTCTAAAACTAGGTGGTTGTGCAAGAATGCTAATGTTCCACAAACCAGGAATGACATGAGAAGGAATACAGTCCTAAATCTAGGAGTAGAAGAGGGGGGTAACCATGGGTACAGATCTGGTGAAGGCATGACACAACTTTCGCCATTGAAGTATATGCGCCTTGGAAAAGCCCAACCCTTGTCAAAGGTGAAGGTTGACCGGTCCTTCCGGAATAGAAGCTCGGATTGGACATTTCCATCTGGCCCAGCCACCATAAGCAGGTCGTTGTAGTACTTGACACCCCACATCATTGCAGTGTCATCTGAAGCAAAAGATTAATCGTTAGCCAAAATATTTCACATTAAAATTGTCAAACTTACTCAGAAGTTGAAGCAAATACTCACTTATTACTCCATAGGGGTTCAAAGATTTGTAGTTGAAGCTGAAAACAGTAGAGACGTTTTCAAAATTTGGGTGTTGAACTACTAAGTTCCACTGCGAGTAGTTCATCCGGTAATTCCAATTTGTGATTGTGACCTTAACCCTCCAATAGTCCCTGTAATTGAGCTTAACATGCCAATGCACTCTTATTGGGCACATGTGTGGTGTGCATTGAACTAGAGGAGTCAAGCTGCCCTTGCCAGGTCCATTCACCACAGACGCCAAATAAGGCGAATTACCCCTACCAACGAAAATACATAGAAGAAATCAGAAGTGGGAAATTAGTTTGTTAATCCATAGACTTCCTAAAGCAACAGTGCTTACTCCACACAGCTTCCTGGCTTCTTATTCTGGCAGCCACACGCACATTTCGGGCAGTTAACTATTGTCTCATTGTAAAACGATGAAAGTGAAACACAACAAGTTGGAGCTCTTTGAGCAACAAACTGCGAATATGTGCATGTCACATTCCAAGTCACTGCAAAAAAAGGAAGAAAGGGTGTCATAATTGTGACGCCAGAAAGACAAAAAACACTGAAATGACTTACCATGAGCTTGAGTTGTTCTTCTGCCATCCAGTGAAATGAACCTAGTAGGAGGTTTCACTTCTTGCGCTAATCCGCAACTATATCCTGGACCTGGGGCCTTTAGAGTGAAGTTCTTCGGCGCTTTTACTGTCTTATTGCTAGTCCCAGAATGTCCAACAGTGATCTGAAATGATGCTACTGCGTTTAGTGGGTCCTGCACCCATGAGGTAAGCACTCCTCCTTTGCAACAATTTCCAAACTGCATGTTGTAAGGCGCCCCAGGAACTAAGTCGACAACTCTCGGATCCCTCTTGCAGCAGTGCGGTATATTTGCTTTGAATGCCGAGCAATCACCTTGTTCTGTGGCCTGCCCACCAGCCATGGACCAAATGATCTCTTTCTTTGCCCAAGCCCACCCAAGACTCCAACCAGGCGCTTGGATATGACGGTACTTCTGGAAGTTGTATATGGTAACAACAGCCTACGGGAAGTACATTATACAAGACATCAAGAACAAGTAAACATCTCTTAGAAGCTGTTAAGTTACCAATCATTTAAGAAAGAGGTGTCCATGAAACAAAAAAAAAACAGAGAGTTATAGCTAAATGATGCACAAATCTGTCTTGCCCACTATCAAAATGTAACTAGAAGAATAACTTGCATTTGTTTATTTGGGGTTCTATAGGATGCAAAGTAGAACTATAAACAAGAGAAAAACACAAAATAAAGGTTCCTTGCTGTAAAGTGAATTTCAGAGAGATGTCTAGAGCAATTGAGATCACATCAGGGTTTTATAGTAAATTACCATGCATGACTTAACACTATTGGTAAATGGTAGTTTCAGACACATAATCTCGTGAACTTTTTTTAGATGAAAGGCTCAAAGAGCCCCAGCTTATGTTGAAAGCTGACAATCTAGTGAACTTACAACATAGCCATCTGGGGTCCACTGTGTGATGTCCCACTTGATTGTGATATTCCCATTTGGATCGAGAGGATCATATGCTTCTGCAGAGAGACAGGCAAATTTCACAACAAAAAAAAATGTATAATATATCACAAAGTAAAAGCAAATAAATGTGGCTACCCTGCAATTTGCAAACCTGAAGTGCTACTTCGAATAACAGTTTACATAACTGGATTGACAAACTACCGCGATTGGGTCGAATTCGGCGCTTACATGATGCTAGACCAAAAGCATGCATTCAACTCTACATACATAATACGAAACCACGGGGAAGAACTCTGGAACTGCCCAATTCACATGTTCCACAGCCATCATAATTGTTCTTTTGCCTAACTACTTCCAGCACTCATGAAAGTTCTACCTTTGTTTCCTGGACTGAATAGGAAAAATGCTACATTTGTGGGGAGCAGAGTTCTAACTTCATACAACATAATAATTACATAAACAGATCAATAAATACGAAATTGGTAAACTGCTATAGCAACATTTGCTCTGATTTTTTCTTGCCACGAAGTACCAACTCCTGGACTTGGACTAATAATATGGAACTCTATGAAACAGAGTTGACACAGAGTAACAGAGCCCAGAATCAGAGCACAAAGGCCATGGTAGGACAACATTGTTTGGACAGTTAACAAACAAACACAATACCTGCATGGCCACATGCCCAAAAAAGGCTAATGTTCTAACTAGATTCTTTAAAACGAGAGGTGTACTACTAGTCACAATGGAACGGTATAAACCGCAGCCCTTTTGTGTGTTCCACCACCCGTGTCCACGAAATAAAACTTGAGTAGTACACCGCAGCCACGATTTCACGTGATTCCAACCGCAGATATAATTATCTATTACTAGGATTCTTATTCCTGACTCAAGATTCAGGAAACATTCCTTCTTATGAATCAAGACAGCAATTTTTTTCCTTTTAATTTTTTTTTTGTCTTTCGAGAGGAGAAACCATGCGAGCATCGCAGCAAGGCCAACTTGAGGAAGGGTGAAATGTGTGAGCTCAAAACAAAATGGCGCCATTTCGAAGGAATCTTGGACTGAAAACATTCACAAAAACGCTATAATTTTTTTTCCCAAAAAGAAGCATCAACCTTTGACTGCAAAACAACACGCATTAAGCAAGCAGGTGACTCCAAGGTCCAAGCCTCCCAAGCCCAGAAATATCAGAGTTTTTTTACCCTCCGAGAAGAATAAAAAAAAAGGAGAAAATATGGCATATTTATTCTCTAAACTCCTGTAACAAAAAACCGATCCGTTAGACAGGTAGGAGTAGTAAAGCGAAGCAGTAGCACTGACCTGCAAATGGCACCATCAGCAGCAGAGACGACACGCCGGCGAGCAGCGCAATGGCGGCCGCACCCAGGAGAAACCTCGCCATGGCCGATGCCTCTCTCTCTCTCTCTCTCTCCACTCCCAAAGAGAAAGAGGGACTCCCTTCTTGTTGCTTGGTCTTTTCAGCGTCCTCCTCTCCTTCTTCAACTTCTTCTTCCCCAAACCGCCCCTCCCATTTATTTTTTTTCTCCCGGCGATTAAAACCGAAGTGCTCTCGCGGGAGGGGCGGGGCCGGGTGCACCTTTGTATCTGTGCGAGAAAGAAAGAAAGAAAAGAGAGAGAGAGAGAGAGAGAGAGAGAGAGAGAGGAGTGAGGCCTGCCTAGGAGAGCGCGTCAGACGCTGCAGCCAGCCACACAGCGAGCGAGCGAGAGAGGAGAGAGAAGAGAGAGAGAGCAAAGGCTGCAACGGTGCGAGCTGCTGTTGCTGCTACTGCGACTGCGACTACTGCTGCTTTACCTCTGTCAGTCAGACTCCGTGAGGAGAGAGAGAGACGGAGGTGGGCGAAGAGAGAGAAAAGAGGAGGAGGAGGAGGGGCATTGGCCATTGGTCTCTGTGCAGCAGGGGCAAGCATGCAGCTGGGAGCTTTCGAGTTTTTCGTGTTTCTTGGGTCTTTGTATTCAAGGATGGCCGTGTTGCAGTGCACTAGGCCGGGAGCATGTCCTCCCATAGTCCCATGCCATATGCCCTTCTTTTCCTCCGACTCCTTCACGCGCGCTGATGCATTCTTCATTTTTTTCTCTATACTCTGCCTAGTAAATCACGTCTATATACAGTAGACCTGTCTTTAGTTTCCCGTATTCTCAACTTTCTATCATATTATATCACATCAAAAACTTTTCTATACACATAAACTTTCAAATTTTTTTTTAAACTTTCAACTTTTTTCAAGAACTAAACACACCCTAGGAGGAGTATCCTAGACATCCTCCCTCCAAAATAAAAAAAAGCTAACCTAGTAGGTGAACCATGATTAATTATTTTAAATTTTAAAAATATATGAATATAGTTTTTTAAATAACTTAGCTATATAATATTTTTGACAAAAAATTAACGGCTCAGTAAACTGTCAGGCTTATAAGACTATCTATAAAACTATCGACAATTTTTTTTTGACTCAAAAACTTTTAAATATAACTATAGTATACCTCTAGTGTAATTAGTACATTGTAACTGAAATTTAACTATATGTAACTTGTCATAAAATAAACAAGAAAACAAAGCTGACTAGTTTGGCTAGCATCATTGGTTTTTATCCACAAGGATCCTAGGTCAATTATCGCCACATGTTTGTGCTGCCAATTTTTTCTCTCCATGCCGAGTACGAATCTTCACACTCATGACTCATCTGATATTTTCTTTGTCAGAAAATATGGCGAATGGCGATAGGTTTGTAGCAAATCCGTTTCTTATTTCTTTCTTGTATCACCGAACACAGTCTATGTATAGGAGTACGTACTACTAGTATATCGTACTAGGTTTTTTAAAAAGAAAATATATAATTTCGCGGGAAACTTATTGAGTAGTACTACTACCACTCCGTTTATGGCGGGAAAGAGAGAAGGAATCCAGAGAAAGATCACTGGGTTGGGAGACTTTAATAGGAGCATTTAAATGGTTTGGCATTTTTGGTATGAGAAAACTTTGAGCACCCGCAATGAAAAAAATAAGGTACTATCTATATGTATATCTCAGCAATAGATTAGATTAATAGTAAATCACCTCAATAGTATGTCTACATGGGTATCTATAGCGCTATAATACATTGCCTCGGTTTTTTTATAGACTATCTCCAGTTTAGTAGATAGATTTGTTCTCTCTCTTCATTTAATCTCTTTCAGGTAGAAAAATATGCTGACATGGATCTCTTATAGAGAGCCTATAGATTACCATTGTGGATGCTCTAAGAGGGTGTTTGGGAACTAGGGACTAAACTTTAGTCCCTCTCATAAAAATATAAAATATAAGTCCCTACCCTACTTATGTATTTGCCCAAAGACCCCCTAAAACTACGAGTATAGTACACGTACTCCATCCGGTAGTGGGGCCCGGGCTCCGGGGTTGGGCACGAACAGTTGCGCGCCCGATCCGGCCGTCGCCATATCGGTTCCTACGTGGCCTCGTGTGGGCCCCACCCACATGGAAGTGGTCTACAGTACCACTGACTACAACACTTGTCAAAGTCAAGACTCAAAACTCAAAAGAGGACAGACCTCAGCTCACTCATCATCAGCGTGTGTTCCAAGCTAAAATTAGAAGTTTGATTAAAATTTAAAGTTTGAAAAAAAAATTAGAAGTTTATATGGGTAGGAAAGTTTTAATGTGATAAAAAAATTAGAAGTTTGAAGAAAAAGTTAGGCCTGAGACTCTCGCGTCCTCCTGATCCAAATACTCCCTCGTGAATTTTCTGTGTCTAACGTTTAACTATTCATTTTATTTAAATTTTTTATTAATATTTTTTATTAATATTTTTTTATTATTAGATGATAAAATATTAATAGTACTTTATACGTGATTTAATTTTTATTTTTTATAAATTTTTTAAGTAAGACAGATGATCAAACATTAAATAGAAGTTAACGGCCGTACTTGAAATGGGACCGAGGGAGTACTCCCTCTAATTCTATTTTAACTGAAGATAGAGGCTAATATCTTTTCAATTGAAAAATTGACGTTTTGGCTCATCGCCGGTAGTACTAATACTACCTCCGTCCTAAAATAAGTGCAGTCATGAGTTTCAGCGCCCAAGATCGTCCGTCTTATTTGAAATTTTTTTATAATTAGCAATTTTGTTGTTATAAGATGATAAAACATGAATACTACTTTACTCGTGACTTATGTTTTTATTTTTTTTCAAAATTTTTTCAAATAAGATGAGTGGTCAAAGTTGGACGCGAAAAACCATGGCTGACGGAGGGATTAATTCATAATTTATGACAAGAAAAACTAAGGTTGTGTTCAGATGCAGGGGTGAAAAGTTTTGGCTTGTCACATTGGGTATACGGACACACGTTTGAAGTATTAAACGTAGTCTAATAACAAAATAAATTACAGATTCCGCCTGTAAACTACGAGATAAATTTATTAAGCCTAATTAATCTGTCATTAGCAAATATTTACTATAGCACCATATTGTCAAATCATGGCGCAATTAGGCTTAAAAGATTCGTCTCGCAATTTACACGCAATCTGTGTACGGAGTAATTAGTTTTTTATCTATATTTAATATTCTATACATATGTCTAAACATTCAATTTGATATGATAAAAGTTTTTACGGGGAACTAAACATGCCTAATTTGTCTGTAATAACTAGCTCATCGCCGAGGTATGAAATGTGGGGGCCAGAATGACTCTCACAAAGGATCCAATTTGACCCTTTTTTATCGGACTGGATGGCTGGAAATCCGTTCTAGATTCTGTCGCTAGCTGTTGGATGATGGCGAAACAACATGCAGATTAGCCTAGTACCAGTAGATTATTACTCCTGTACTACCAGTGCTGCTAGTGGTTAGGCTTAAAGGATTAGGGCAAATGCTATGACAAGAAAAGGAACATTAACGTAAAGTGTGCCAGGGGGCATGCGACAAGCACGTGCGGTTGATACTGCTTGGGAGTTGATTTCCTAATCTTCGATGAAACTATAAACTTTAGTAACTAATGATGGTTTCTGCTATTACTAATAGTGGTAACAAGTGGAGTAACATGGGGTTTTTTACTAGTAGTAGCGGAGGCCGACTGTTATTGCGCCGTCGGATTGATGGTAAAAATGAATATGGACCGTCGAATGGCAGCGGTAGAGGTGATGAAGGCGAGACATGTAGTAGTACAGGGTATTTGTTTCCTCGTGTTCCTTCATTAATTAATATCTTCACGGCGCCTCACCGCGCACGCCGCCCGCAACCGCAGGTGGCCCCGCCGCGCGCCGTGCGGTTTTGCAGCAGGCGGTGGGGCGGCGGCGGTCCCGCGCGCGCCGGCGCGGCCGGCCAGCGGGAAAGCGCGCTGGAACACATCGGGCCTCCGTTTTTTTCTCTCTGAAAAGGCGATGCTGCGAGATCTCGATTCTGGGAAGGGTCTTTCTTTCGAGGAACATGTTTTGGGTATTTGAACGAACGTTAGGTTTTTGATAGGGAAATGTAAGTTACAAGGTTTGACTTCTGCTTGTTAGAACTGTCAGCAAAAGGTAATTGGTCAAAGCGTTATTGTTTTTTTTTCGGGGAAAAGCGTTATTGTTTTTATATTGTTTGTACGATTTTCGTAAAAATTACTATCTCGATTATGGGAGTTTTTAGAAAAAAGATCGATTTGTGTGTTGTATGTACGTTGAATTTTGTTAGGGAAATGCAAGTTAGTACAAGGTTGATTATTTAGTATGTTCGTTAGAAGCTTCAATTCATGGATTCCGGTAGAATACACTAGGGGTGGGTATTCGGTCAGACCAAAAATTTCGGTCTCGGTCTTCGCTCTTTCGGTCAGTTCGATAATAGTGAAGACCGAATTTCAATAACAAAATATCAGTACCGGTAAATTTGGTCTCGGTCTCAATCCTGACCGAAATTTAGCAGCAGTTTCATATATGCAAAGAAATCATAGAAATTTTCAACACCAAAGTCAAAAAAAATCACAAGCACATCTGAGTAAAGACTCTTATTGGGTTACATGTCTAGAAGGAGTAGTAATGTGAAAAATAGAGTTTACTTCTATGGAACTGAGTGGATTGTAGGTTGCATTGGACATTTTTTAAGTTCGCTCTATTCGGTTAACCGAGGAGACTGAGACTGATCGAACAAAATTTGGTCTTTCGCTGTCTAGGACCGAATTTCTCAGGCTCGATCTTTTCTATTTGGTCTTTTTATGCCCACCCCTATAATATACTATTTACCTAGAGTCAAAACATAAATATTTTTTTCTCAAAATAGATCCTCAACGCTTTGTTATCGATAGGGATGAAAATGGTTAGAAACAAACCAATTTCATGACCATATTTTTCTTAAAAACGAAATGGAAAATGGTAAAGTCGGAAATGAAAACGATATCGGAAATATCAAAAACCAAAAACGGAACAATACGGATGGAAATATGTCGGTATAGATTAGAAACCGTTAACAAATACGGTAACATTAAACTATAAAAACACATATTCCAAAGTTTATGAATTTCCTTACATGCCATTGGAAAGTTATTATTTCCTTATATACCATCCAACGAAATTTTTTGTCCTTTATTGCCAGGTCAAACTACTTTGACCTTGTCAGTTTTTCAACAAACTGACAAAACTATCCTCGTGTGTTATTGCTTTTACTCGGCCATTATCAACATACACACTTGAGCATAATGGTTTCACCTTACAGTTGATCTGTCTTTTTTTTTTGCTAGTTATAGGGATGTTCCTTCGTTATTACAGTTATTAAAATTGTCCATTCATCACCTTCCGTCCTAAAAAGCAAACAATAAATTCAAGGAGAAAAAAATATATACATCGTGAAGCAGAGAAAACCACAACATATTTGCCGAGAAAAAAAAAGAGGAAGGCATGTATGCTCTTTTGTGAAGCAGAAAAAAATGTTGCAGG